GTCTACATGGCAAGGCATAAACTATTAACGTACGGGGGGAACCTAGATGGTTTAGAAAATAACAGTGCATGTTTCACTTGTCCATGGAAGAGAGAATGGCAATTGTGAAACTCTTTGTGGCAGATGTATATAAAGTTGCAAAAAGAACCAACATAAAAAACAAAATAATTATGTCAGACACAGAGAGAGAGAGAGAGAGAGAGAGAGAGAGCACAAGACCAATGTTGTGTCACATACAAGACAAAACATTACAATTGAAATTAATTAAAACAGTGCATGTTAGGAAACCAAAATTAAACAACAACAAAAATTAAACAAATTGATTTAGGCAGCTTACCTTTTATTTAAAACTTTCAGGAAATGTTCAAAAAAGTATTTTTTTGTTTGAGACTTTAATTATATTCATTTAACTGATAAAGCAATTTACTTTACTCTTACCTTGTGAGCACTGCTGTGCAGAAAAAAGGGACAAGAGTTTAGTAGTTATGCTAGGATTACTAAAAACAAAAAGTTAATTTTGCTGCTTGAAAATCATATTACATGTTTGACCTTTGGATTTAAAAATTGTTAACTGTTAGTTTTAGCATTTTTGGTACTTTGTTTTTACTTGAACCTGCTTTATTAATTTCTAAAAATAGCGTCATAAAAAGTAAGTATTCTGTTTTTTACAGTGCTGACTGCCAGACATTAGACATAAGACATTAGCTTACAATTTATGGCTAAAGGGTTTCTTCTTTCCTCTCTCCTTCAACTCTTTGCAAAACCAGATGTGTAAGCTTTTCTTTAAAAACAGAGGGAGGGGGGAAAAGGTAGGTAGAGACAAGAGAAACTTTTACCGCAAAACATTCTTATAAATATAAAATATAAATATAATCTAAATTAACACAGTTTCTCTAGTATTTAAGATAACAAGATAAACTAGACAGTGTCATGATACAAAGAAAAAACACTTAAAGAACTCCCCACTCCCCCTGCCCATGTACACAAAGACAGTTCAGCCACTATGAAGTGAGCATGTAAATCAGTATTCAGCTCTGTCCTATGTGTTAACAAAATTGATAGTTCTTATTATCTCTTAAATTTAAACAAAACAAAAATTAACCATTTAAAAAAAATACACAAAGATTAGTCTTAATTAAAAACCAAAGTAGAGTCAGCGGCTAATAACTGTTAAATCAGCCTTAACATACACAAATGCAAACATGATTTTCTTACAATTACAGTGCTTTTTAAAAAAAAAAAAACAGATGACAAGGTGCTGGATTTAAATCCTATAACATAGTTCAATTATGATTTTTCAGATAACATATTACATTGTAAGGCTGCTTTAAGGCAATAGAAATAAATATAAGACAAGAATACATAAGCCAAGTGGGTACTCATTAAAGAAGAAGTTTAGAAAGTAAGGAATCTCTTTGGTCATTACACAACCCAGAGAAGAAAAAAGCAAGCAAGATTAGCACAGAAGGAGTAGCTGCATCAACCACAGCTGAAAATAAGTTTGAGAGAGGGAAAAGAACAACTTGAGGGGAGGAGAAGGATTTAGAGGCTGTTTGTCCTCTGAACATTCTGACCTGTTCCTCCAATATTTTTATTTAATTTTACTTTCCAGCCTTGCCACTGCTGTAACGGGACATTGTACTCCTGTGTTGTGTTTTTGAGATTCCTAGCCTAGTTTTTCCACCTCGGCTTCTCTTAAGCTTTCTAATTTGTTCCTGAACTCCTCCAATTTTATTTCTTGCCTCTTGCGAATTACAAGACAAGGAGGCATTTACTTACACCTTCCAATTGTTGTCTTAACTCCTTCCTTTGCTCTTTGTGTTTGTTTCTCTTTCCTCTCTGTCCTTGGAGTGTTTTACAGTAATTTTCTGGCTGTCAGGAAGAAGTTGGTTTTGTGCAGCCTGACTTTTTAATCTTTGTTCTCCGGTTCTCATGTATTCAGACAAGCAGAACCCCAAGAATTATTTTTACACTTTGCAGCCTGGGCAAATGAAATATTCCTATGGGTAGATACATATTTGTACTGTTTCTCTGCTTCCTTTTTAAACAACTTGCAAACGTATTTCCAAAAATTGCTTTTATTAATTGCTCTTTAGTGCAAATACAGTAGTCCCTTGTTTAATAACATAGTTTATTAAATTCTTGAGTTTTTCCTTTGTTGGCAAACATTTCTTAATCTCAAAGATGAATACAGCACTATACAGAAAGAATAGGTACCTGCCCATTCCTGCAGATGGTTATGGAATGCTGACAGCGTTCATCCCCAAACTAACTTTTCAACCCTCTTTTCTTTCGTAGGGTGAGACAAACAAAACCTCCTTTTTGAGGGAAAATACTTTCCCATGATTAATTTACTGTGTGATTTGTTTTTCTAATTACTGATGGATTTTTAAAGATGATTAAAAAGGAATCCCTAACCCAGTCATTATTACTGACAGCTGTGACAATCACCAGTTCTTAATGAATTAAAAACATTTTTCAATGGGATTTCCTCCATTTCAGAACCCATCTTCAATAATAAGTATCCCTTATTAATCACCCAATTTTGTTTATAACAATACTTTTGTAGATACTTTTATTCGTTTGAGGGGTCTTTCCTTTAGATATCTATATTCCCACAGACTTGGAGAAACCCACAATAATGCAGTACAGCCCAATAAATGATCACACAAAGTTCCTGTATATAGGTCACTCAGATGTTAAGAGCCAATACTCTGGGCCTTAGAATGCAGACAAACTCTTTGTTAATGTTGTATAAGATTCTGGGGGGAATAGTTAATATGCAAATGAATTTAATATGCAGGAAAAAATGTTAATATTTACTAACAGGTAGTAATAACTTTGATTATCCTTCCATTTAATTTAAACTGAATCAACTTGTGATCACTCAGCCCAAGGTTATTTCCTATGATTAGCTCTTCTATGATTTCCTTACTATATATACAAAACAAATCTAAAATTGCATCATAGGATACAGAAGGACCTAGAAAAATTAGAGGATTAGGCCAAAAGAAATCTGATGAGGTTCAACAAGGACAAGTGCAGAGTCCTGTACTTACGAAGGAAAAATCCCATGCACCGCTACAGACTAGGGACCTAATGGCTAGGCAGCAGTTCTGCAGAAAAGGACCTAGGGGTTACAGTGGATGAGAAGCTGGATATGAGAACAGTGTGCCCTTGTTGCAAAGAAGGCTAACAGCATTTTGGGCTGTATAATAGGGACATTGCCAGCAGATCGAGGGACGTGATCGTTCCCCTCTATTCGACATTGGTGAGGCCTCATCTGGAGTACTGTGTCCAGTTTTGGGCCCCACACTACGGGAATGATGTGAAAAAATTGGAAAGCGTCTGGCGGAGGGCAACAAAAATGATTAGGGGACTGGAACACATGACTTATGAGGAGAGGCTGAGGGAACTGGGATTATTTAGTCTGCAGAAGAAAAGACTGAGGGGGTATTTGATAGCTGCTTTCAACTATCTGAAAGGGGGTTCCAAAGAGGATGGCTCTAGACTGTTCTCAGTGGTAGCAGATGACAGAACAAGGACTAATGGTCTCAAGTTGCAGTGGGGGAGGTTTAGGTTGGATTCTAGGAAAAACTTTTTCACTAAGAGGGTGGTGAAGCACTGGAATGTGTTACCTAGGGAGGTGGTGGAATCTCCTTCCTTTGAGTTTAAGGTCAGGCTTGACAAAGCCCTGGCTGGGATGATTTAGTTAGAGATTGGTCCTGCTTTGAGCAGGGGGTTGGACTAGATGATCTCCTGAGGTCCCTTCCAACCCTGATATTCTATGATTCTATGATCACCTCTTGTTCCTTTGGTGACTGATGAAGAAAACTGCCATCTATCACCTCCAAGAACAACTGGGCCCTACTACTATTAGTAGCATTTGTTTGCTAATCTATATCTGGGAAGTTAAAGTTTTCATTTATGACACAATTTCCAAAAGTATTTTTCTAATACTGTTATAAAAATTTCTATCCATATCTAAGTCTGCCCCTTGGGTCTATAACAGACCTCTAACACTATCCAAACAGACAGATCCTCTTTTACCATACTTCCCCACAGTGATTTTTACCTCAATAGATTCTGTTTTGACCATACTACCACTTCTTATTTCTTTAGTTTACCACTTTGTTGATGTACAAAGCTACCCTGCCATCTTTCTGTTTTTTCCTCTCTCTCCTAAACAGCATATATTTTCAAAAAGCTATGTTCCAGTCCTATCTGTGTGTCAGGGTTAGAACAGGTGAGTAAAATCACTGACAGGGAACTAGGATCCTCTGTCTCCAATGACTATCCCTGCTAAAGTCAGGGAAAGAACTCGGGAGTCCTGGCTCTTCATCACCCCATGCTCTAGTGACTGCACCACCTATCTGCCCCAGAGGTGGGGACAGAACCCAGGAGTCCTGACTCCCCCTCACCCTGATCTCCAGACTCCCCAGACCCCCTGTCTGCCCCACAGGTGGGGCCAGAACCCAGGAGTCCTGACTCCCCCTCACCCTGATCTCCAGCCTCCCCAGACCCCCTGTCTGCCCCACAGGTGGGGCCAGAACCCAGGAGTCCTGACTCCCCCTCACCCTGATCTCCAGCCTCTCCAGACGTGGGGCCAGAACCCAGGAGTCCTGACTCCCCCTGCTCTGCCCCTGACCACGTGTTTCCCATTTCTGCCGCAAAATGATGTCTCTTCTGGCACCACCTCAAGGCCCTGTGATGTCACGGCAGGACGTCACCCGATGACATCACCACTCACCTGCTGTTACTTTGGAGCCCAGGGGTGCCTGGGCTGACCCGGCCTTCCCCACTCTCGGGGGGTGCGAAGCTGAGGCGCAGGGAGAGGCTGGCCCGACGCCTTTAAATCTTTCCCCGTGTGGCCGGTTTCCAAGGTTACCGCGGAGGTGATGGTAGCACTCTGGCCCCGCCTCCCCAAGCAGCAGGCCTATCAGGAGGCTCAGGCTGCCCGGTGGGGGCGGGGCTTCAGGGGCAGCGCGAGCGGCTTGATAGAGGAGTCGTGGCGGCGCGCGCGAGCCCTTAGACCACGTACCGTTGGGCTGCCGCGCGTGGTGGGGGCGGGGGTCAAGGCAGCGGGCCGAGCGAGCGGAACCAATCGCTTTCCTGCTGGAGGGGTCAGTACCGTTGTGGGGGAGCAGAGAAGATGGTCTGGCCCCGGGCAGCTGCCTCTGAATGAGGGGCGGGGCGACCCCCGCTGCTGATTCTCCTCAGCTCCGGCTCCCCGCGCCCTGGGGTCCGCCCCTCCCCATCCCCAGTGGAGCCGACGCGGCTTTGGGTTGGTCGACCCCCCCCCCCCCATCTTCCTAACCCCCCCGTCCCTGCTTTACCGGCGTTTCCTGGCCGCCGCAACTACTCTCCCTCCCCGCGAATAGCGGCGGTGGGGAGGGGGGCGGGGCTGAAACGGGGGTGGGGGTGTCTGGGGCCGGGAGCTGAAGGCAGGCGGGCGGGGGGGCACGCGCTGGGACTGGGGGGGGAGAGAATTGAAGAGACCCCCCCCCCCCGCAACACGGACCAGCGGCGGAGTGAGAGCCCGGACGCCTGGGTTCCCTCAGTCGGTGCGTGGTCTTGGGGGAATTAACCCTCCAGGTCCAGGGGCTGCTCCTCCGAGGGCGCTGTGAGGGGCGGGGGGATCTGTGTTCATAGCTCGCTCTGGGGTGAACTGGGCTCTAGCAGGATCCTCCTTTATAAGGTGCTTTGAGGTTTACTGGTGCTCCCTAGGCGCTCGGGGTTGTAACATTTTAAGGGTGTGAGGAGAGGCCAGGAGCTGAGCTGGGGCCACTTTTCCATGGCCCGGGGTCAAGGGGTCAAGGGGACATCTTGTTTGTGTTGGCAGGTTGGCCTGGGATTGAGGTTCTTGCACCCGCCCGGTTGGGTCCTGCAGCTGCTCAAAGGGTGAAGCAAGACCTATAAATCAGTGACTGGGGTGCTGTGTGCTGTGCATTGCATCCTCGGCATAAGCTGAGGCTCTTGCCAAATGCACCTCCTCAAGGCGAGTGTTAACTCAGCGCTTTGCTCTTATGCGCCACGCCAATGCGTTATGAAGATCCAGTCGCTTTAAAAATTAAAGTGAAAAGCTTGCGGCGTCATACTGATGTAAGAGGCACGGTCTTGACAAGGAAGGTAGCCAAATAGCTGGGAAAAAAGCAGTTAGATTAATTCTGACAGCTACTTGGGTCACTCTAAATGCCACCACTGGCAGTCTAGAGATTTTGACTTTACAGATAAGTATTATTAATAATACTTAATATTTCTCTAGTGCTTGTCATCCAAGTATCTAAAAGCATTTTGCAAAATCGAACCTGTTGGTTAAGAATTTAATACTCCATGCAGTTACTGCATTTATAGTCTCTGATAATTAAGGTAGTTAGAAGCATCCATTTACTAGAATTTAACCTGGGGGAAAAAATCCTACCTAGTTTAGTGAATCATTGTGTCTGATGCTGTTTTCTTGTATGGGTTAGACTGAAATAATTCTGAGTTTTAAAGAATACCTGTTTTCTGTAAATTGTCAGTTTAGACCTATCATCATGACAACAGAAATAAGTTTCTGTTATTTCTGTATTCTTTAAGGTTTCAGAGTAGCAGCCATGTTAGTCTGTATTCGCAAAAAGAAAAGGAGTACTTGTGGCACCTTAGAGACGAACAAATTTATTAGAGCATAAGCTTTCGTTCTAATACATTTGTTTGTCTCTAAGGTGCCACAAGTACTCCTGTTCTTTTTTTTTTTGCATTCTTTAAGTATACTGTAAGTGTACTAAGCAGACCTTAGTGACAGTGAGGCTTTTATGAAAAACATGGCAAATGATTACAGCTTTTCTTTTTGCCTTACTGTAGCATGTTTTTTTATAAAAAATAATGCTTCAGTTGATTACTGAAGGAATCTAGTTTTTCCCCTTGCTTTCAGCAACCAACTTTGGGTCAAGTGCTGCTTTCCCATGTAGTTCCTTCCATGCTGAGGGCATGCTGTAGAGCAGTGGTTCTCAAACTTTTTTTTACATGGACCACTTAAAAATTGCTGGGGGACTTGGTGGACCACTTAATGATCTTTCCAAATGTTTGTACCATTAGCTAACTATTATAAAGTGCATTGGATAAAAGCTCTCTATAAAAAAAAACCCTTAATAATAAATTTTTTTTGTTCTACAAATAGAAGCACACAACTTATATTTTAATATCAGTAGTCTTACCTTTCTAATGCAAGGGATGTGCCCTCTCTCCCCTGCCACAGCAGCCCCTGAGCTGGGGCTGGGAAGGAGGGGGGTCTCTCTTCCACCACAGCAGCCACAGAGCAGAGGCTGGGAAGAAAGGCTATCGCTCCCAGGCAGCCACAGCCCTGGAGCTGGGAAAAGTCACCTCTTTCTCTGGCCACGGCAGCCCTGCACATCCCAAATTCCCCCACCCCCTATTCTCACCCCACTGCCACCCCACCTACCCTCTATTCCCCCCAAGGTTACCTCCTCACCTTACATGTGCGTCTCCTCGAGGCTCCAGGCACCTAATTAGTGGAGCCACACCTGCGTGGCTCCACTAATTAGGTGGGTGGCTCTTCATTCTCTCATGTGCGGCCACCCAGGCATGCACCTTAGAGGGAACTATCCATGGACCACCTGAATGGAACTTGCGGACCACTGGTGGTCCACGGACCACAGTTTGAGAACCTCTGCTATAGAGAGCCCAAGCAGATGAGCAAAAGACTGCAGAGGAGTAGGTGAAACCATGGTAATCACCTCTCTCAACTCAAAGATCCTTCCAGAGCAGAAGTACAGTAGGAGTCTCCTATACTACCTTTATGGGTAGGAAGGAAGCAAGAACTGCAGAGGGGCAGGAGAGACCATGGTCCAAGAAGGTCCAAGTGTAGAGATAGGATCTTTCTCAGGTCACCCACTTCAAGAGCTTAATATTTTTAGGTTTCAGAGTAGCAGCCGTGTTAGTCTGTATCCGCAAAAAGAACAGGAGTACTTGTGGCACCTTAGACTAACAAATTTGTTTGAGCATAAGCTTTCGGGGGCTACAGCCCACTTCATCAGATGCACAGAATGGAACACATAGTAAGAAGATATTTATACATACAGAGAACATGAAACAATGGGTGTTACCATACACACTGATCACTCTCGTTATAGTGTGTATGGTAACATCCATTGTTTCATGTTTTCTGTATGTATAAATATCTTCTTACTATATGTTCCATTTTATGCATCCGATGAAGTGGGCTGTAGCTCACAAAAGCTTATGCTCAAATAAATTTGTTAGTCTCTCAGGTACCACAAGTACTCCTGTTCTTAATATTTTTAGTAACTTGTAACTCAGATATGATCTGTCTTTCTTTGTTTTAAAACGCAATCATACTGAGCCTCAGTCTCTCTCTCTGGGGGTGGGGAAGAGGCAGCAACGTGGCATGTTGTGTCATCCATGATGGTTCAGACTGGTTGGGGCAGGTAGTGGGAAAAGAACAGGGGGAATGTGTTTTGGAGAGGCTGATCTAACAGCTGTTACTTTAACTAGTGTATGGGCTATAGACATAACCAGAGTGCATTGCACTCCTGCCGCTCGTCTTCCCTGCCCTGACTTGTTCCTTGTGCTGGTGCAGCAAGGAGGGAGTTGTAGGAGCTGGCTACCCCCATTTGAGGTTCCTTTGCTTGCAGGTGTTTTTTTCCCATTGTCCTACCTGGTTTGCACAATATTATGATTGTGGTAGAGAGATTCTAAAATCTTGATTGTGGCTTCCTGACCTTTTTGAAATAATGTGATGGACGCAAGCCTATCATAGTGGAGGCAGGTGCTTTGCAAGCTTCCTCCTCTGGGTCCCCTAGCACACTTTAGTCCAGTAACACCCTTACTATTCTAGTCTGGAGCTACTCTTGAACAGAGACTGAGGCCTGGTCTACGCTAGCAAATTAGGTCAGTTTAATTATGTCTGTCAGAGGTGTGAATAATGCACACCCCTGAGTGGTGTAGTGAAATCCACCCCCTTACCATGCTGCTCACAGCGGCAGGAGCTTGCAGCCCCGCTGCTTGCGCAGCGAGCTGAGGCTGCAGTGAAGGGGGAACAGTGGGGGAGGGTTCAGGGGCGAGTTTCAGGGGCCGGGTAGGATGGTCCCGCAGGCCGTAGTTTACCCACCTCTGGAATAGAATGAACCCGTCCAACTAATTTCCAGTCTGGCCAGAAGTAGACTTTAGATATGGGTCATTGAAACCCCTTCTATCCAAATGTCCCATCACCCACTCCAAAAACAAAAAAACAAACAAAAAAAACCCAATAACCTTCAAGCAACTTAACAAAGATACCAAAATAGGTAGGTACTTCTCTAGTGAATAAAGCCTAATGCTGTAACTCAAGTTTATAAGTATTAGCCAGCAAGAAAAGAATAATCTCACCAAGGTAAGTAAAGAGACTAAACCATCAATTTCTGAAGAATTTAAACGTTCTTTTAAAATAATTCAGTGTCTGGTCCCTGTGGTTATGAAGGTAAACTTCTGAATGTGACCTAATGCTTCAAAGCTGTGTTCCAAAGTGTGTCGAAAGAATTATTGTGCCTCTGCAGTTGACAAAGAAAGCTGTAAACTGCTGTGTATTTAGAACTGTGATTCCTGTCTCTTTCACGGCTACTATTACAAACCCTTTGTACAGCAGTGAAAATAGAAATCATGTCCATTTCACACCCTTGCTGCAGCAGAAGAGGCAAGCACCAGGGAGCTACATATGGGAGAGGGGGATTTAAAAAAATGATGCTGGGGTGAGGGTAGTAAAATCCCCCTTTTTAGTCTTTCTCCTGCCTGAGGTTGCAGGAGTAGTGGAGAACTGCCCCTCTCTTCCCTAGGGATAGACTACTGGAGTTCACCCACATACTCCCTGCTTTAACCCACCAGATCGCTTCGCCCTTTTCTCTCAGTATATTCATGTTTTCTAATAGTGAAAGCACAGATTGTGGTAAGTTTCTTCTACCCACTCCTCCAGTGACACTGTGTATTCTTGGTAAAATGAACATCTTCAAAAATAAGTGTATGCATGAGCATAGCTGGGTCACACAACAGCTGTCCAGACCACTGAAGCTACAGCTGAGATTTTGTATTCTGGGATTTGACCTTTCTTTTTATGCCTTGGGCTTGATTT